TCCGCTCAAAACGAAAACAGCCGAGAGGCGCACGGCTCGGTCTTCCCAGCACGGCTCTTTGTGTCGGTCCGCCTTCAACGCGCCCCGAATCGTCAGCGGCGCCCGGCCGCCGGCCGCGCCTCAGCTTCCTCATTTCGCGGTCCCCCTTCCCTCACCGTGTCGCCACCAAACACGAACTTCAAAGTCCCCAGGAAAGGTGTATTTAAAGCACAGCGTTCCCCCGGAGAAACGGACGAGCGCCTCAACCCGCTGCAGAGCCCCGCCGCTCCCTTTGTTCTCGCGGCACCGGCCCGGCCGGCCTAGAGACCCCGGCCCAGCGCACCCCCTCCGGGGCCAGCCTCCGGCGCACAGCCCCCGGGGAGGTCGGGCCGGATCCGGGCCGCGGACCCCCGACCCCAAACCTAGAACCCAGGACCGCGGGCCTGGAACCGGGACCCCAGAGCTCGGACCGCAGACCTGGACCCGGGATCCCAGGGCCCCCGCGCCTCCGACCCCTGCCCTGGAGCCCGAGCTCCGGACGCCGATCCCGGCCAGACCTGGACCCGGGATCCCAGGGCCCCCGCGCCTCCGACCCCTGCCCTGGAGCCCGAGCTCCGGACGCCGATCCCGGCCAGAGAGCCCAGGGCCCGGCCGCAGACCCCGAACTCCGGACCTGGGACACCCGGCCGAGGACAAGGGCCCGGACCCCAGCCGAAGCCCGCGGGGTCCCCACCCGCTCCCGGCCCGGGACCCCGCCCGGGCGGGGCAGGAAGACGCGCTGCCCGCGGCGGGGTGGGGGCGGGGAGGGTGGGGGCGGGGCGGCTCGGGCAGGCGGCTGCGAGGGAGGGGCCGGGGCCCGGGTCGCGGGGCAGGGGCAGGGGCCGCCGCGCTCACCTCGGCGCCTCGTCCCGCCTGACTCGCCCGCGCCCCGCCGCCTCAGCCGCCTCGGCCGCCGCTCTGGAGGTGGTCGCGCTCGGGCCGCTCCGCGGGCGCTGCGGGCAGGTGCGCCGGCGAGGATCGGTCCGGTCCCGCGGCGGCTGCTCCACTCCCGCGCCCGCGCCCGCTCCCGCTCCCGCTCCCGCTCCGCCGCCGCCTCCGTCCGCCCCTCAGACGCCTCCAGCCATCGGGATGGGCGCGGCGGCCCCTGCCCGCAGCCTCGGGAAACCCCACGCCGCGTCACCGCGCACGCCGCGCGCGCACGCACGGCCCGGCCGCGGCCGAGGCGCGCGCACGCCGGCGCGCTTTCTCCCAGCGCCGACCCCAGGAGCGTGCGCGAGCCACTTAAAGGGGCCGCGCCCGCCCTAGGGGAACCAGATCGCGGAGGACCCCAGGCCTGGTCCGTCCCTCGCGGGTGCCCCAGGGGCTGCGCGCGGGGCCCTGCGCTAGCGTGGGCCTCCCCGCTGCGCACCCGCTCAGCTTCCCAGCCAAAGGGACGTGGGTGGAGGCTGCAGGACCACAGCTGGGACTCTCCTGGCCCTGCACCCGTCCCCCATACACGCATCCCGCACTACATCCCGCACTACATCCCGCACACATGCCAAGTACTCCCACCTGGCATCCTGCACCCGGCATTCAGCACCCCGTACCTGCACTCTGCACGGCTACCCGCACGTGCACACACCCAGACCAGGCCGGCTTTCAGGCCTGGGGGTGCAACCAAGCTGACTGGATCCCACAGGGACCCACACTGACGGGGTCAGCCTCTAGGGAAGCCCAGCTTCTCCCGGCCCGCGAGTGGACGCCCACCAACCGAGGGACGGGGGAACAGGGCCAGTCTGTGAGCTTGGGCAGGTGCAGGCAGTGTGGTCTCGGGAGGTCAAGCCTAAGGCACTCCTGTTGGGAATGGCCGCCTGGACAGGGAGGTGTGACCACGGAAAAGAGTGTCAGGAGGGAGACAGTTGGTCAACCTCTGGGAAGGCTGCTGAGAATTGAAGCCCCTCAGGTGGGAGCAGAAAGGAGGTGAACGTGGGTCATATATGTGCCCCCCATAGATACCCCCAGGAATGTCAGTGGAACGGTCCCCCACCACCACCTCTGTCTTTCCAACTGGCCCCTGGCTCCCCAGTTCTAACAGCTAAGCTGGCCCCTGGCAGCCCAGTTCCCACGGGCTCCCTCCCTTTGGATCCTGCAGCCCCTGACCCTAATCACCCCAGGCCAGATGCGGGCCCCTTTTCCTCCAGGCCTGTGTGTATCCTTCCAGCCTGGAGCCCATACCTTCCCACCCAGGCGTGGGCTGCGCCCTGTCCCTCCCCCTCCCACTCCATGGGATCTCCTACCAGCATACAAGCATGTCCCCATCATTCTTGGACCCCCTTCCTCAGTTCCTGGTACCGGATGCTCCAGGCTCAGCTTACACTCTCCCTGCCCAGCCCTGAATTCAGCCATTTCTTCAAGGAGCCCTGGTGTCCTTTAATGGGGAATGGTATTTAGTAGCCAGGGTCAGGGCTCCAGGTGTGCTCGCTGCTACAGGAATACCATTGCTTCAGCAGACAGAGCTAGGGAACGAATGTATGTACAAGCATACATGCACAAACACACACAAAGTACCCCCCACCATGTAACCAATCTCCCATGATTGCTGCCACCCCACCCTCCTAACCCCTCCACTGGACCACCACAGTCCCACCCCAGCAAGGAGGTCCACCTTGCTCGGCGGACATGACAGTTCCCATTGCCCATCCCACAGCTTCCAGGTTCCTCTGTCCCCCTTGCCGCTCCTTAAACATACCAGTCACCACATCCACACTCTGCCCTTGTGCCTCCATCTGCCCAGGAGGGTCTCCCCCATTACCTCCAGGCACCTCCAGAGAGAGGTCTCCCCCGGCCCCTACCCCTTTGTCCTTCCCCAGTGCCTTGTTGGCTGCATTTCTCTTTAGCTCTCGTTCCTGAGACCTCACACGGTTTCATCTGCGGGCAGCTTTGCCCCTTGTCCGTCTCCCCTGACGCAGCTGGTACTTTGACTCTCTTGTCCCCTGCTCCAGCCACCCAGTCGGGTATGAGGCACACAGTGGGTCCTCAGGGGAAGCTTATGGGTGAGAGGGGTATGAGCGATGCTCTGTGCTCTGAGTGAGAGGGACAAGGTTCAGCATGACGGCCAGAGGGGCGGGGGGTGGGGAGTGTCGGAATCGAGCGGTCGCTGTTGTCCAGCACACGGCTGGCAGCCCTGGGGGCTCTGCGGTGCTGCACACTGCTCCAGAGGAGAGGTGGACGATGCAAAGTTGGAAGGATGAGTGTCCTGAGGTTGGCAGGTGGGTCCCAGAAGCAATGGACCCACGGTCCTAGGCTCAGGGTCAGAGACATCCCTCTGAATCCAGCAAGTCGGATGCCAGCCTTCAGGGCCTACCTAGGCCCAGGACTTAGAACAATGGAAATGAGGAGGGAGAAGAGGAAAACGAGATGGGAAAGGAGGAGAAGGAGGAGGGGAAACAAGGTGGGGCAGGGCCAGCAGCAGGGCAGAAAGAAATGGGAGTGATGGTCTCTGTGGAGACCTCTGTACTCCCGTGGGGATGGGAAGAAGCCTGGGGGACGCTCAGAAGCCCTACTCCACCAGCCTGGCCTGACTGGGCAACAGGGGTGCTAAAAGGGCTGGCCCAGGGCTCCCCTGTCCCACAGGCCGCTGCAGCCCTGATTGGGCCCATCCCCAGTTACCCCAAGGCCACAGAGCAAGGCCACACATGAGGACACCAGGCCAGAGCCTGCACCAGCCATCTGAGGTTGTGGGTGTAGACCTGGAGCCCCCAGCTAATCTGTAGGTCTGCGGGGGAGGGCCAGGCCTTCCCTGGAACTTGCCCTGTGGCCCAGGCCTGAAATCCTCCTATACATGTTTACGGATGGGCGTGAGGGCAAAGGTAAGGGGAAGGCGGGATGAAAGGAGGAGAGAGCCCTGGGTCCTTACTTCCAGATCCCCTACACAGACTGGGGCCTCATCCCCCTTCAATGCATAGAAGCCACAGGGACCCAGGGTTCTTCTCCCCACTCCAAGGCCAGTCCCCAAGTAGCAGGGGCCCTCTAGCCCTGGGGACACATGCCCCGGTCAGCTCTCAGGAACCTACAGGAGCTTCTAGCTTCTAGCCAGAGACCTTTGGACCTCCAGGGTATGAAGGGCACTCTGGGGGCGCCTGGGTGGCTCAGTTGGTTAGGCGACTGCCTTCGGCTCAGGTCGTGGTCCCGGAGTCCTGGGATCGAGTCCCGCATCGGGCTCCCTGCTCAGCGGGGAGTCTGCTTCTCCCTCTGACCTTCTCCCCTCTCGTGCTGTTTCTCTCTCTCTCTCTCTCTCTCTCTCTCAAATAAATAAATAAAATCTTTAAAAAAAAAAAGGGAAAAAATGAAGGGCACTCTGGGGAGCCTGCCCACCCTCCCCTCCCCTCCCCTCCACCCCTTTTGTCCAGGCCTCCTGCAGTTTGGGTTCCCATCTGCCGCCCAGCCTCCTCCTCAGTGGGGCATAAGTCAGGGCTCATGATGGACCCGCTGCCACGGAAAGAATTTGTGCCCAGCTGGCCAGGAACTTAGGCTTCTCCTGATTTCCTGGACAGACGCCTCCCTTCTCTAGATAAGTGGCTTAGAGATCAGCCTGAAGTCCTGAGTCCATGGCCACACCCTGTCAGCTGCACCCAGCCCACGGCCAGGCCAGCCAGGTGGCTGCAGGGCTGAGCAGAGCCTGAGGCTGAAAGCAGTGGTCCTGGCTCAGCGCCCAGCCTTCACTAAAAACCTAGGGTGTGCAAATGCATTATTCAGATGCTCCCCCTTCATCTGCTCTTTAGCAGGAAATGGTCTGACCGGAAAGTAGGTCTTTTTAAATCTGAATTATTCAAACAATTTGTGCACATGACCAGGACCCAAGCCCAGGGGCTATGCTCCAAGCCTAGCTTTAAAGGGTCTCAGGGCTGTAGGGGCCGCTCCCTTCCCGCAGAGCATTGTCTGTTCTTCTACCGCAGCCGTCCTGCCTTGGCTCCTAGTAGATGAGGCCCCTGGCCCCAGAGGACAGGCCTGGCACGAGGAAGGGAGGGAGAGGGTGCAGAACGTAGGTAATCCAGAAGAAGCACTGATCAGTTCTGCGGCAGCCAGAGGCAGGGTCTGGTGGCAGAACGGGCTCAGGATGGTGAGGAAGCCCGCCCCTCCTTCCTTCTCTCAGCGGTGCCCTCTCCAAGTGCCCACCGGGTGCCAGGAAGGCCCAGGTCCACCCCGATGTGGGGCAGGTCTGCTGGAAGGGACAAGGGGAGAGCGGGATGAGCAGCGGAAAGGTGACCGTCAGTGGAGCAGAGCCTGAGGAGTGGCAGGCATTGCGGTGCGGGGCTTGGAGCGGTGGGCAGCTTCAGAGCCCAGGAAAGGATCAAGGCCTGAGGTGGCAGGGCACAGTGTGCCTTGTGGCCTTAGGGAGGATGCTGGCTATTTGCCCCTGGCTGCTGTCAGACTGTGAAGGACCCCTGGACCCTCCCCCTATGCAGCAGAAGCAGCCCCTCTCTCTCCCAGGCCTGTCCCTTGTCCTTAGGTCCCCCGCCATGCCTCTCATGACCTGACCTCCAAGCCCATGATCCTCCCCGTCACCTCCCTTTGGTGACAAAGCAGACATCCCTCATGGGGGCCACCAAAACTTGGGGGGGGGGACAGTGGAGAATCAGAAAGTGCCAAGTGAGGGGGGACGGCAAGTGCAGGGCAAGTTTCCCCTGAGATTTGGAGCAGACGCCCAAGGGAAGGTCCCGGAGCCTTGCCACTCCCAGAAGGAGCCCTCCCAAGTGGGTTGAGGCCGTGGGGGCCATGCTCAGCTCCAGCAAGCATCGGGGCTGACTTCCCAGGACACTTGTAACAGGAGAGCCCACCTTCCTCGGTGGCAATCTGTGTGGCAGGTACTTCTGGTCACACCGCAGATGGGGGGTGGGACCTGCACCCGTAGAGCTGGAGAGCCTGGCTCCATCCAATGGCTCTGGTGCCACAGACCGGCCCAAGCAGAGGCTTTTCACATCATCCTTTGTGGAGTGAGACAAACCTCTCTAATGGAGAAAGATGCAACCATGATCGAGCAGAGCAGCATTCCCCACATGTACCCCAGAAACGTGTGTACCCACAGGA